TGTCAATTAATTTTCTTCGCCGATGTTGCTCATGAAAAACCATAAGTGTATGTTGAAAAAAGTTTCCAGCATCTCCGGCGGTTTAAGGAGTTAAAACTTTCAGGGGGTGGTTTCTCAACCCTTAAACTTGAATTACGACCGGTAAAGAAAAATACGTATGCCTTATTTATGATCGCTCTACAATCCTGCAAAGTTTCATCAAACTCAGGGATGGAGCACTTCGCGAACGTTCCTCGCCAGTATGTACTTTCATATTTGATGGTATGGGAAAAGTGAGAGCGTAGACTTTTCAGTTACACACTGTAGAGTTTGATGATAAAGTAGAGAAATTACGGAGATGTTTTTTTATAGTCCAGACACTCTAAAATCTCGAGAGTTTCAACAGTAGGTCATTGCAAATAAAAATAATTAATAATAATTAGCTGAAATAACTTTCTTTTTACGAAGAAAATGTAGTGTAACTTTTTTTATAGTCACTTGTTATTACATTTTATTACATATCTGCAAATTAATTTACATTTGGCCTTTACTTATCTCGAGTATTAAAAAAAAGAACATTCAATTTTATCATCTCTTGCAGACCTCCCTTAACTAAACACTTTTTCTATATTCTCGAGAGGACGCCCCCTTACTCTTCGACCCCCTTTCAAGCCACCGTGGCTGAAAAATTGCTCGTTAACCTTCTCAAACAAAACTCATTAAATTTCGAGACAACTGTACGAAAGGAAAGATTAAATTTTAATTCCAGCGTGCATTTGCATTTTATGCAAATCACCAGAGAGGGCTGCGCCGGATCCATCCAAACGGATGGATCCGTATAATTGGGAGCTTCTCAAGATTTGTGGTACGTAAAGGCAATCCCACAAAAGATAAATGCTTGTAAGTAGATCAATGAACGACGACGTCGAGTTCTATTCAAAGTATCTCCTGTAACTCATTCTCTTTCATGCAGAAAGTACGCTTTGTGAGTCTCTTTCAGTAATAAAATAATTATTTTTCATTTCATTTTATACATACAAAATAATATGTAATACAGTCAGTGTCGTTAATATTCATACCATCTAGGTCTATTAACGAAATTTGTCTAAATTAAATGATAGTGTTAATGTTTCCAAATAAATATTTTATTGTGAGTGTACAAACGTGTAAAGTCTATTTACGTGCATATGCATAACGAAGCATTTATTTGAAAATATTGTAATATGTTGTAATGTGAATGTTGAATGAATGTTAATTGTAATGTATTATAATATGAATGTTGGATGAATGTTAATATTTAAAACCACTAGGTATGTTTATACGTTTTATAGTTGTCAGTTATGTTTGTGTTAGTAATTTATTGATTATTCATTCATTTTGTATTTTGTATTGCAATTTAACTTTGTCTATGATATATTGTCTCTTGTCTTTGTATTTTGACAGTTTTACACCGAACCTTGAAATAAATATCCTTACAATATTAAATCTGTTTAATTTCGAATTCTATTGGACTGACTGTATATACAGTCGGGGACAAAAATAAGTGTACAGTTACTGGAAGTAGGTAAAGATGAAGTTTGATCGAATTAACGTAACTGTTATAAACTTCAGTTTTATTAATTATATATCTTTATAGTATGTACATTATGTAGTGAATAATTGAAGTTCTTACTTGCATCTTTGTGTAAACATGCTGTAATTATCGAAACTGATAGCTATTTAGCAGCAGACAAAAATAAGTGGACACTTTGTTACAAAGTTATTATAAGGCAAAAAATGTATACAAACATTAGGCAGAGATTACGCTTACATGCAGTGTTCCGACAGGAACTTATTAGTACTAACTCAGCCTTCGTACGAGTACAAGCATTTCTAGAAAAATTTCAGAATGTCAAAAACGGAAGAAATTTCAAATCAAATTCGCCATTTAATCGTTTTAGATTGCTGTACACAATTAAGTTACCGCGTGATAGCTCGAAAGTATAACGTATCTAAAAGTGCTCTAGAAAGTGCAGTAGAAAAAATTTATAAAAAATTCTACTACATAATACGGTGAAAAATTTAAGAGGCCGTGGACGCAAACGCTGCACCACCATACAAGAAAACAATTGCATCAAGAAGTATTGCAGAAATAATGGGATTAAAAGTTTCAACAAAAACGATAAAACGAAGCCTTCACGAAGCTGGATTAAGATGTTGCAAGGCTAGACGCAAGTCATACATCAATAAAATTAATATGAGAAAACGTTTAGCATTTGTACAAAAATATTTGAATATGTCACTAGCATTCTAGAAAAATATAGTTTGGAGCGACGAAAGTAAATTTGAGTTGCGGCAATTAAAAAAAAAGCACCAAGTCTGGAGTAAAAAAATGAAGCATATAAAAAAGCATTTATTACACCTACAGTTAAATTTGGCGGAGGATCATTAATGGTGTGGAGGTGCTTTTCATGGAATGGAGTTGGTGCATTAGCAGAAATCGATAGAATTATGAATCCAGACAAATATATTGATAATCTAAATGAAAATTTAGAAAAAGCAGTAGTAAAGATGGGTTGCGACGACGAATTTGTCTTCGAACAAGACAACGACCCCAAGCATACTGCTACGAAAACTAAAAAATTTTTTGAAGATTCCCATATTAAATTGCTTGAATGGCTCAGAGCCCCGACTTGAATCCTATAAAAAATTTATGGAGTTTACTGGACGCAAATGTTCCATTGGATCAACGAAATAAAAAGGTCGATTTTTTCAAAAGGTTACAGTTTGAATTTGAAAAAATTGATAAATATTATATCGAAAATTTAGTAAAAGGTATTCCTCGACGTCTGGAAGCAGTAATAGAAACAAAAGGTGGCAATACCAAGTATTAATTTCAATATGTATTCCATTTGTCACGTATTTTAGTAAGTGTCCACTGATTTTTGTCTGCTGCTAAATAGCTATCAGTTTCGTTAACTACAGCATATTTACACAAAGATGCAAGTATGAACTTCAATTATTCACTACATAATGTACATACTATAAAGATATATAATTAATAAAACTGAAGTTTATAACAGTTACGTTAATTCGATCAAACTTCATCTTTACCTACTTCCAGTAACTGTCCACTTATTTTTGTCCCCGACTGTATAAAATAAAATGAAATTGGTTATAATCAATTTATTTTATTTATTATTTTTATCATTCTTCAAAATCAATATTCTTCGAGATATTTTCCACTTATAATATAGAAAAGAATTGTATCTTAACTTTCATGGAAAGATGATACAGTATTGTCTCGAAATAAGCAATCTGGTCGGGAGCGTCGCGTTGCTTATTTCGGGACAATACCGTATAAAGGAACAGCTAGTTTGAGACTCAACCTATGCCAACCTAAGATTTAAAGACGATCTCGCAAACGATAAACGCTTGTAAGTAAATCAATAAACTACGTCTTCGCATTGTATTTAAAGTCCTCCCTATAAGTCTGGTCAGATAACAGAACGGCGAGTAATAAGAGTCCACGATAATTGAAAGTTCGCGATAAGAGGGTGTAGGGAAGGATTATCTAAAATTTTCAACGACGATGTCTTCCGAGCGAGATAGTTGTCGATAGCTTCGAGCACTGTTTCAAACCCTTCATTAAAAAACTTTATTAACGCCCTCAAGTTTCTCTACAAAATTCCATGCATTGAATACCTTCAACCCCCACCTCCTCTCAAAAAATCTTCGAATATTACTGGAAAGTTAGCAAGCTCCGAAAAGGTGTCTCGATAATTTCGACGAATTACAACCGCGCTGTTCTAGCTTAAAATTAAATTTCTCTGATGTTATCCGAAACGTAACGACACTGACAGCATTGCGCTACTGCTATATGCTATAGCATTATAGTGATGCTCGACGTTGCACGAGAGTAAACTTGAGATCACGGAACACGTTTCTGTACACGACGTGAAAGTTTGTCGAATTAATTCAAAACAGCAAAAAGTTACGCAACTTCTCGTTACCAGCGTCTACGGAGTGCAGCATGTTTCCCTTTTCAACGAGAATTTGTCTTTGTCTTTGAAAAGTATACAAACAAAGATTAGCGGGACTAGAAGAACAAGGTTCTTAAAAGCAAGTATATAGTGTAGTTTGTACACGCGACCTAAAAATATTTGTATATTTGCATTCGATTTTGGTCAATTTGTGTATGGTTGAATGGTATTATTTTTCCTTTCGAAGAAAAAACTGCACACATTTCTCTTTTGTATTTATGTTTAATTTCCAACGAATTGTATACGGAGTTCGGTCGGTATTATTTATCGATTGCAATTTTTCTCGCTACATAAAATTTATTTTCCGCAAATTGTGAACGTAAAAGTATGGAATTAATTTCTACGCTTAACGCGTATAATTAAACTTTTGTAGGAAATGTTTTTTCGTAGAATGCGAACCTCAGGAGTTAATCGAGAAGTTACGTGGACCAATCCTGTATACAAGGTGTCCGTGAGTGTAAGAACCAGAGGGTAGCTGAGACGATTCTGAAGCACAATTTCCTTTGCAAAAATGTCGGATTGTGCTTCGTTTTTTAATTATAAACGAAAAACCATCGACCAATCGCAGTGTAGTGTAACGAGCGCTCAGTTGGCTACCCCCACCGCGACCTGACGTAGCCAGCCAATCCTGGCTCGAGTCTATGCTCTCGCAGCTGAGCGCGGGCTACTCGCGCGCTGCGATTGGTCGTTGGTTTTTCGTTAATAATTCAAAAAGGAAGCATCATCCGACATTTTCGCAAAGGAAATTATTCTTCAGAATTGTCTCAGCTATCCTTCATCTTTAGTTCTTACACTAACAGAACCTACATGGTTCTGAAATACCCTGTATAAAAAAGGATATAAATTTCCCATATAGGAAATTCTGTCAATTCTGAGAGGATTGCTTGCAGAATACATTCTAGTGTCTGAAATTATAAGATTTACGATACTCGATGGTTTTGTTCATCTCGAGAAGAGTTTCTAAGCCCCAAAACCCATAATGTTCCCCTCTGCTTTCAGGTTTCATTCTTCTCGACCAGTCCAGAACTCTCCAACAAGCAACGCTTCGAATATTTCACGCGGACTATACCCAGCGACCACTATCAAGTGAAAGCGATGGTAGACATCGTCCTAAGAATGGGCTGGAGCTACGTGTCCATCATATACGAAGAAAGCAATTACGGAATAAAGGTGAGCATTTATGCGAGGAGCGCTCAGACTCGACGTTATTTTCACGACAATACATGGGCTCTCATTACACTGAGAACATCTCCCTTGACACGTTTTCTTGGACAATTAGAACAGCTGCTTAAAGGCACGACTACTTTTACAACTCAATGAATTCTTCGAACATCGTGGACATTATTTAATAAAACAATCATCGAGATAGGAATCAAAGTTTTAGTTGATACAGTAGTGTGAATAATTATTGGTCCAAATTAATTTTCCATTGGTAGATTCTCTAAGTATCGAAAACAATAAAAATTTTCAAGGATTTTGACTTCTCTGTCTAAACATGTAGTATAAATTATAATTATGTAGTTTGAAATAGAACTACATAGTTTAAGTATAGCTTATGTATATTGATAGATTCTCTAAGTATCGAAAAACAATAAAAATTATTTTCAAGAATTTTGGCTTCCCTTTTCATTGAAGTATTAAATATTTACCTTTGCATCAACAATCATTCACAGCACTGTACATTAACCCTGGAATATTTAAAGTAGTAGAGTAATTTTTGCAATGTATTACTTAACTATAACTTAACTAATTTAAGAAATTGTTTTGCAGAGAATATTTGAATAAAATATTGGTGGATTTCAACGTTATTTAAGTAACCAAACTGTGCGCTGTCTTCGTTAATGATTTAGAAGAAAAAAAATACTTCATGCAATTAGATTCTATCTGCTCGCTAGACGTTATTTTCCTGACAAAAGAGGCGGTGTCTCATTACACGAAGAACAGGGTCTCTTGACACGTTTTCGTGAACACTTAGAACCTGCTGCTCAAAGGCACAACTATTTTTACAATTCACAGGATCCTTTGAATGAAATAAAATACTGTGCTCAGACTTACACGAAGCAGAAATTTAAATTCAGAAATAAGAATTTCGTCTTTGTTTACACACGCTAACCAATGGAATTTATACATCGAGCAATCATTTCAAACCTTTGCAAGCCCTCGAGCGCTATCGAATATCTATAAAATAAATTAAATTACAGAAACGACCCTGTGCCTTAAAAAAAAAAAAAAAAAAAAAAAAAACAGAACTAAAAATCAAATTAAATGAAAGATAATGCACCTGCGAATATTTTCCAATTTCGCGAATTCGTTAAACAAAATATTCCAACGACAATTACGATGAGTTATTACAAAACAGAAACAAGAATAACATGTATAAAATAAATAAACGAATATTAAAGCGAGTCTCGCTGTATTTAAATCCTCTGCAATATTTTCGCTGACGATTTGCTTTGATATTTCACCTTTTACGGAGCTCCCGTTCCATTTTTTTTTACCGTGTCGACGATCCATCGACCACCGAAATCGTTCGATGGATGTGCGTGGGAGTTAATCCGTCGTTGTATTGTAAATTGTTGATCGATTCATAGACGGGCTGTACCGTGAAATGGTTATTGGACGTATGTATATACACGATTTCCTAACTATGGGGAGGTGTAGACGAAGGGAGTGGCGTGGAATTATTCACGGGCGTTAAATACACAGGAACACGTTACGCGACCGAAACCCGTTGATACGTGTAAAAACGCGGTCTCGTTGGTGTGAAATTCGAAACGAACAATCGATTCGAACGCACAAGGGCCCTCGGCCAATGCATTTAGCCGCACAATACGATCAACGCTGTTAACTATCCGCTGCAGAAAATTCTCGCCCAACCGACGTTCCGACAGATTTGATCGGTTTCCCCACTCCCGCGGGGCATTAATTTGTTTTTTAAATTAAAACGCAATCCGCGCGTTCAAATTACGCGCGACCGTTATCCGAAACAGAATAATGCGGATTAAGGGATGATATTGTCACGAGCTCCCGGTATTGTTTATTTCCCGTTTATTTTGTAGATTTAATTGTAACACTTATACGAAACAAAGTAACGCGGATTAAGGGATGATAATGTCACGGTCCGGGGATGTTTGTATCGCGATTATTTTGAAAATTCGGTGAATTCAATTGCGCCCGCTGCAAAGTGATATTTGAAACGAAATAATGTAGATTGAGGATATTGTTTCGAGCTACTGGTGTTGCTTGTTTTCCGTTTATTTTGCAAATTTAATTGTAGCGTTCATTAGGAGTGGAAATGAATTCCTTGGCATTACGGTCGCACGTCGCTAAGTGTAGCGATTTTCTGTCCGTTCCGGTTACAAGTTTTTACAAAGTATAATCATTACAAACGATATACAAATTGCAATCATCCTGGCAAGATGTCATATATAATAATGAAAATTATTTTGTTCAATCAAATTTATTCAAGGTATGATGAATTTATTATTTTGTGTTATTTTAAAAACGGACAGAACTTTCCGATAGACTTAATATTTCCTTAATATTTTGTTACGTTAGGCGTATTTCTTTCTTCGACATCACTTTTCCATACATAAATCTTCTGCATTTAAACATCATTTTCTCCCTAAAATACTACCGTACAATTTTTTTTGACAATACCATTCAAAAGCTGAGACTTCGAGGAAGTTTTTCCCGAAGAATGCCCGCGAAACAACTATGTCTTTGAAATCGAAAGACGAATACAGAAAAAGTCAAATTTTTTTAAACTTTCACAATGTAAAGTTTGACCTAATTTTTCACTTGTTAAATCTACGTAATAAATTTTGCTTTTGCATCAGAGAGATGGGAAATTTAACGCTCTTTCGAATGGTGTACTTAGTTTTAAGTTTGCACTATAATTTGGTGGAGTTATGGCCGTTTAAGGAGTGTCAAGTCGAAAACACGGAACAAAAATTAAAAGCGAAAATACTCGAGAATAAGGCGACACAAACAAAAAGGTCAAAAAGTAATTTGTTGTTGGAAATTTGTTGTAGACTTGACATCCTGCGTATGTCCGAATTTAAACGTAGACACCCTATATCAGCCATTCACGACCGTCTTCCAAACATCCCGGTATCTAAGACACGAGCTTGCTAGGTGAAATCTTTCTGAAGAGTCCACTAGCAGGCTCAGGATGAGACGCTCCCTTCATTTTTTCCCCTCTCCCGCTCACCCTCACAGAACAGAGTCCATCACACAGCAATTTTTGTATTCCCTTCTAATAAAATTCCCCTATCTCCGATATGCAAACATCAAGTCGGAAAATCCGTGTATGCATTTAATTTCATTTACGACCTCCCGTATTTAATCGAACACACTCGAAGCCGAACCGTATAAAAAAATAGAATGACTAGGGGTGTACGAGATCCCGGTCGGGACGGAAATTCCTCCCGGGATCGGAATGGAATTCCGAGAATTTCAGAATCCCGAATACATCCGGGATTCCCGTGAATTTCGAGATCCCGTAAATGTTCAGGATTCCCGGAATTTCGAGATCCCGTAAATGTTCGGGATTCCCGGAACTTC